CTGCGCGTATTGCTGACTGTAATGGCTGAGGAAAGTAGGACCGCAATCAGAGAATTTGTCATTCCTTTCCCTTTAGTAATGTCAACGTACTTCGACTTCCGTAAAGTTGCAGCTACAGTCGACGGCCACTCCAATGCCGTCACTGACGGAAGTACAGGCAGCATTCGGCCGTTTGATACCCAAAGCTATAAAAATAACAATATCACCTCGATCGATGAAAAGCCCAATTGGTAGATTGTTGGATATGGTGAAATTCACCAAAACCTAATTAGCAAGTTCCCCGTGTGCGCGCTTTCTTGTTACTGTGCAGCATAGAGGATGCCAAAACACAAGCATCCCATTGTACGAGTTCGTAATTCTTTGTTCGGATGTACTCTTGGGTAACATTTTCATCATTTTTCACCTGTATACAAGTTTCCACTCCTTATTTGGCTACCTCCCTATTCATTTGCCAGTTATTAGCTGTTGATGACGATCCTCCCTCCCAATCCTGGGTCGATGGTCCGCTGGTTATTCCTTTGTGTCCTGGCGGTACTTATAAGCACAACTTTGTTTAAATTGTAAAACTGCTTTAGTGCAAGAATCATTACTTCAGGTACTCGCGAGGATACGTACGATAGCCTTCAGTCAAACAATTAACTAAGGGCCAGAACCCCAATACTTTGCTCTACAGTGTGTGGAGTAAACTTTTGTGTTTCGAGCCGAGCTATCCGTAAATTAATTCAGTATTCAAACGGCTAAGTCGATCGCTACGAAGTGGACGTGTCAGTCGATGATTGGTGAGAAATGAATACAGTTAGAAACAGAAGATAAATTCAATTAACCGTCGTTATCGCAGTGGTGAACTCAGTACTTGGTAACTCCGTACTAAGTCATGAACTCCAGGTGGCTGTAGATTACAGCCAAAATATTAATCACTATATTCAATTGAACGTGTATACCCTGCCCAGGATTGAAGGAAACATCGTCAAGACATCTCGGTACTAGGTGTGGCGAGATGTAGGCAACGTGAACGGCCGCACTGTGCACATCACGTGACCGGATGACTACCCATTCATCAACTGCACGCGCGCTTGACGTGGACCGGTTCGCGTCCGCTTGATCGCCAGCGCGTGAGCAGAACCATCTAGGCGTGTGCCAACCTGTCGTGGTTTCGAAACACGCGATTAGTGCCGTCATTTTGGTGCCTAATAGATTTTGGTCGGAACCCAGTTCCGCTTCCTTTGTGAGTGCCACACGTCACCCAGCGCATACCGGTTTGAATCTGAAGAACGCAAACAACAAGCAGTTGTTTGTGCAGGTGAAACGAAGCCCTATTAGGATTGCTCTCAACGTCACTTTGAAACAGAACAAACGACCAGTCAGCTCTGCTCGTGAACACTTGTAACCGGTTCGGTCGTCAGAAAGGAGGCACATGCTTTGTCAATTCTGTCCAAAAGTGGCGACGCGGGTACCTACTTTTACCTATGAAGCTACGTGGTTGAGATATTGGAACTGGTGTGGAAGGGTGAACTAAAAAAAGACAACAAGTTAATACTAGAGTCCAACTCTTGTACCATAACTATCGAATAGTTTAGCAACGAATAACAAACGAGCTTGACGCCGACACTGGATCGCGTACCGTCTTGGTTTCATTGTTACCCGCAATGAAACCCCAAGTACTATATGGTAAGCTGTGTCACCCTCAATGTAGCTAAAACGTTTCACTTAAATCGTTCACGAAATCTACCATTCTCAGGCAACAAGGTGTACCACATGCACTGTGAGGAAGCCCTAATAGGACAGTGCACACATTTGGACGATAAAATATACATGGAAAAGAACCTCTACCACCTGCAGTCAACAAGACATAAATATTCATTTGTGCACACAAATACGCTCGATTTCCTTGAGTCCTCGAAAGTACTCTTATGGATGTTTCGGTTGTGATCAACGGGTTAGGTAAGTCGTTTGCTGTTTTTGACATGCTCTTCTACATTCGCTCGGAGCCAGTTTCTTCATGTCTTGAAAAGTGCAACCCTTCATTGTTCGCAGAGGCATCACAATTGACCGGATTGCGCCGTACAACATGCGGAACGTGTAAACGGAAGTAGCTAGATAGTTACACTTAGATCTAATAGTCGCGGCCAACCAGTGGGAAAGTGTGCTTCAGGACGCCATACATTCCATTCGCTGTCTTCCTTGAAAGGTTACATATTTGCCATCCCTACGAATGAAACTTCTCTAATAATCGGAAACCAACGTCAGGAGAATTGTCGCCGAGTTGGTTAACCGCACAGAGACCAGACCTAACGTGTCGAAATGCTGAGCATCAAAACACAAGGCGCTGGTGAGTGGAATTTAGCGAAGGTATGGTAACCAGTACTACGATTGTAAGGGATATATCGTCATAATATGTAGTCTGTCATTTTCCGGACAACGGCACTCTAGCAACCTCCTTACTCCCATTCTTCAACTAATCAACTACACACAAAAAGACAGACAGGAAAATGAAGCAAACCTATTCAACAACAGGCCTGATGATGAAAAAATGGAAAACAATTGTTGCTTTAAGCGCACGGCTTGCGTTTCTGCTTACAGTATATAATTAAAAATGGGCATACTACACGATACTATTCAACAACCTCAGAAGACTTTCAGACCCCTAGGTCCAGCAACAAAGAACGCGGGTGATCCGTTTAAGTACCCGCGAGGAATAAAAAACAATCCACCTACCTACCAGTTCGTGATCAGGTTGAGGAGAATAGTTAAGTTGAATTCACTGAGTAGACCTAATTTAGTAAAGTGCCCTTGATGTAATTCATTTCAGCCTGCACACTTCAGTTGTTTGCGGAATAAAGCCTATCCATCCAAGCCTTAATCGTTTTCACTAGGCGGGTTCCTGATCTACCCTGACGTTAACAACAACGAATTTGCCGCGCAGAAGTGGATGATTGACGGGTGCCCGGAATCGACGACCCAGTGATTAGAAATTCCTAAGCTTGCAGCCTGATTGTTAATTTTGGGAATCCCACTAGTGTTGGGGACGGAAAATATCTAACATCATTTCAAAACCATTATTACTTTGGCAGCAATAAATTCGACGAGTGGCACGGCTCAGAATGAACTTCAAGCAACTCTTTTTTCACCGGCCGCATGCTACTTACACGCGAGAATCCACAGTAACACGACAAATAGATTTGTTGACCGTTGCCAACAACCATATCAATGAGCACCTAGGTGAAGTTTAGTACAAACGATAGGAGGGGTGGAGCAATCAAACTATGCGGCCCTCCTAGTGGTGACGCGACTCTTCGACGCAACTTGGATCCTCTGAATCCACCACACCAATGGCAAGCGACCTTACTTGACACAACAGTTGTGGAATGAGAGAAAAATCCGTATTCGGACTGTTTTATCTAGCCGCTAACTGCCTAACTTAATTTTAATAACCTACCTACCACCCCGACCCATTTTTATTGAATTTTTATTCGTATCCCCCATTTCCTTATCGCTGTTAGCCATTAACAACGCAACCATGCACTCATAACAGTGGGTTACACTTCACCTTTGTTTGAACCTTGGTTGTTTAAGCGAGCAGAAATGACGGTCGACTTTCAGTGGTTCAGTCCAAGGTCAGGTATCATAGTAAACGCATATAACATATCGGACAGCCTAAAGTGTATACGCGACCTGGTTTTGGTAACGAAGAACACAGCCGCCTAACGATATGCAGCATGCTACAACAAAATTCTAACGAGAAAAAGATATGATTATCAGGTTAAATACTGCGAAGCCATTTGTCCTCAATGTGGACCAGGCCACAATCAACAACAGACATGTCATTGATCTACACCAAGTGGACACTAAAGGCTAGGCAACGAAAGTTCCACCTCATGGGTCACAGGTTCCGCAGTGCGTGTCTAGCTGCGTTTAGGATGATACGGTCAACCTCCTCGCAGTTTCAAGGATGCTGTTGTAAAGATAAAGCATCAACATCAAATCGTACTAGGTCAAGTTGAAATGTAATAAGTCGCAACAATAGTACAGATGGAAATCAATCAAATGTTATCGATCAAAGTTTGGAAACAAATAGTAGTCTACGAATATTGGTGAGTCCAACTCAGCCATAGGATCATCAACTGTGATAAGATCGAAAAGAAGACCAAGAAGAAGACGCAAACCCATAACAAAGCGGTTCCCGGCTATACGCAATACTTCACCGTTCCAGTGTCTGGAAACAGGTGATTTTTCCCAGATAGGTGTATTCGCAGTGAAGAAGGTATCTCAATGTAGGTGAAAGATCCCAACGCGGATGCCAGGACCCAAATAATGTACGGAAATGCGTTTACCGAAAACGCCTAATTGGCGATAGCGGTAGCAATCTCCGGATTTAACTGAACACCAGTATTCACCAGCAGAGATGCAGACTGTTACGCATGAATAGATCATATCGATGGATGACGGAACGTACACTGTCGAAACATTAAGACTGGTGGGTAAATAAAGGCCTCAAAAAAGGACGGTACTCTCTACTTGTCAGGATCTCTTCGAATGCGCTGAATGCTTCAGATTAACATTTGTTTGGTGAAATAAATCCAATGTGTATAGTGGCAGAGGCAGACACCAAATATTTAAGAGTAATCCATCTCGTAATTAACCTGTGTGGAACAAATAAGGATGGGTCGCGATCCACAGGAAACGAAACCATAACAACGTGGGCGAAGCGATTTACTTAATTTGGGTGGAAAGCGCGACAACCAGATAAAACGAACAACCAGCGGAAATGTCAGAAGGCGTATTCTGGATATTTGCTCCCCATTCGCTCAACACTTAACATTAGTGAACATTTTGCGGTCAACATTTTGCGCCCAAGCGCTAGCAGCAGCATCTGCGATACAGCACCGTTGTGTCATCGGCGACAAACACAGTCGGCATACGACGAGAAAGGCAAACATTCTCAACACAAGTATCGTTCATTCCTTGATGCTGTAAGCTATGAAACAGCGGAACATGGGCAAAAACATCTATGCTTAGGTAGGAAACTACAAAGTAGTTTTCTGGGTATGATCAGATGCACTTTTAGAAGGAAACCAGTGGCGCATATACGAAACTCCAGAAGACTGAATTACAGTGTCACAAAGGGGTGTATATATCCATGTGCATGCCGAAATCTCATATGTGCGATAATGATACGCATAAGTCAATAGATAAGTGGTAAAACAATTAACCGGGGGTGGCTTGCTCAAACATCCATCTGGCAAAAACATGTGTGATGAGGCATTAGGAATTCAAATAGAGGCGCTGAATGGTACGAAAACAAAGCGTAATAAAAGGAGACTCTGACGAACCGACTGCTGGCAGTAATAAAGCTTTCATGCATGTCCAAGGGACAACCTATGTGTGCAGAGCATGGTCAAAATGAGTCCGTGATACGTCTCTGACTACCAAATGTGATACCCGAGGCATTGGCGCCAGTTGTTGTGCCCATTTGTAATCCGATAATCCGTTCACCCGACCGTAGTTGTTCTTCGGTGAATTCACGCTTGTTTTCCTTGTGCCGTTGGGCCCAAAAGTCCGGTGGACCGCGGTAATCCGATTTACTCTGGGCTAACACACCGAGTTGACCGAGACAAATAACTACTTGTGTCAAGTTGGTGCTTTCATACAGTTGATCAGTCTGGAATTGGAAAGCGCCATCCACTCCGAACTTGCTGGTGAATTGCAGAAAGGATCCAATTCGGTCTCGCTGACGCGAAGTTTCAAAGATTGGCTTGTCGGACACCTGCCAGCTTTTTACTGTGCTTAGCAGATGAGTAGTGTCGGGATTCAAGCAGGCCATGAGATAGCCCAGTACTAAGCCATCGGTTAGGTAACCCGCGTAATCTCGCATGTCGACTGACTGGATGTTTGGGGGTATCTTTTGCACAGCATCGACGAACCGCTCAGGAATCCCATCAGGCGCTTTAAGCATACGAATCCAACGTAACGTCTTCGCTGCTTCCGCACCATCAAACTTCTCAGTCAACTTCTGCTGGACCTCCCGGGCGAAACCAGACTTGTTAGCGCGCAGCTCAGAAGCCATCGCAAGGGCGGAGTGAGAGCAACTGAGGCAAGGCTCCGGTATGTGGATCAAATCGCATGTCTCGACTATTGGCTAACCGCCAACACGTCCTTCCGGCTGCTCATTGGTCCGCCAAGGTCAACTCGCAGGCCATGTGACCTTGAAGGCATGTGCGCGTTATGAGCGACGTCTCACATGCGCACTCAGCCCGTCGACCGATTGGCATGCAGACTCCGGGCGTGACGCTACCTCAGCGTGATAACAGCGCTGGCCCGGCTATTGGATGTGTCTATCTCGGATGTGGTGGTGATATTCCGATTCCCCTGTCTTCCGTACTACCGACAGCTCCGAAACGTGTCCAACACCACTTATTATCGTAACTACCCAAAATGATTTCGCTGAAAAGTCATTTGTATCGTTTTGTGTATGATCGGCTTACTTGTTGATGTGATCACAACTGGTCTTGACTACCAATTAACAATACATGGAACAGCACAGGTAGAAATTCATCACCTCTATAGACTCCTTTAAATAGACAAAACACGCCCAGGAAAATCACTGTACTGCCGGTTATTGGTTTCGGGAATCGTCAGCAGTACGCATTCCATCTGACCCTTGTAAGGTTCGAACCCGCAACTCGACTGTTGACAGTCTGTGGTTGGAACCATTGAGCTACAGGGGCGCGGCAACGACTGTCGTAAGTTATAGATGTGATATATCGTCACTCACTGTCCATCTGACTTGCACGTTACTGCCGTGCAAAGGATAGGGATAGTGAGCGGTGCTATATCACCACGGTCGTTTCCGTCCTCTGTAGCTCAATGGTCCCAACCACAGACTGTCAGCAGTCGAGTTGCGGGTTCAAGCCATGCAAGGGTCAAATGGAATGCGCACCGCTGACGATTCCCGACATGGTTAAACTGCTGTGCAGTGGTTTTCCGGGCGTGTGGTAGTTATCTGACTGATTCTAGATGTGATGAATTTCTACCTATACCATTCAACTCCCCTTATTACTTCTCTGAAATATGAAACAGCCATTGTATATGGTTAGTAAACCGACATGCTACCGCTTCATACACTCAGAAGGGGGAATATTTAGTTGTTATACACACGCCTTCCGTATTGTAAAATAATAAAATAAATTTAAGATAGTGAATAGCTAAATAAGTTAATAAGAGGCATGGCAAGTAATATGATTGCAATCTAAACTGGCTTGTAGGATACAGTACAACAAATATCTGGTTGCACAACAACGCGTCAAATGTGGAATTACGGATGAGTGGCAAACCCTTGCACGAGCATACTTGAACCTACGCTTATGTTTGGTTGAGGATTTTGATGCACAAGTAAGAGGGTGACTTGCATCAGTGAGTATTTTTAACTCTGGCCTATGGCATGGGCTGATATGAGTAGACTGAAGAAGGTCAAAATTTCGGCTTTGGAATGCAACTATAGTGAGGCACTTGCGTCAATGACATATCTACGATTTTGAAACACTGCGTTAGGAAAACGAGCAATAAATAAATAAATAACTTATTTATGCTCGACACAGTGATGCACGCCTGTACAGGCATGATTATGGTATTATAAACATACAGGATCGATAATTGTACAAAAGGGTTAAAGTTACTCGTTTACAAACTGGTTCTATGTGCGTGTATATATGTGAATGCGTGTCTCATGCTGAGGTTGAATTTGCATACATCACGCTTCTTCACCGCACCCTGGCTACACCGATCTAGACTTAGAGTAGATTTTCTTAATTTGCATAAAACATATTCCACTTTATTTGATTTGCTCAGTTCTGTTACTCAGCTGTATATTCCATGTCAATTTTGAGTGTATAGTTGACATCAACTTCTATGTTGGTTGCTTGATATCCGCGGTGTGGCTGCGCTTGATATGAATGCTGACAAGGTGCCTACCAGTGTAAGATCTTCCACCTAGATTACCGGTTCTAGGATACTGCTAAGATTTGCCGGTGTGGGACAGCGTGCTCGGTCCTCGTGACTATGCCGGACTCAAAGAGTGGTTCCATCCACCCAGTGTGGAGTGGACTACTGGCAAGCCACCGCCTTGTGTATGGTGAACAATGAACCATGACTTTCTACGGGTTAAGAAGCGCTGCTTCACAAGCCCCATTGGGTGGTCTGGCTGGTTACCGAAAAACGCTAACAAAATATGCATTCAGTAGTTTTACTGTCAAAGGAATGACGTTACACTCCGAGCGTTTCCATAGCTTCAAAAGACGGGAAAATAAATTCAAGGTATTGCCCGGGAGTAGAATGGAGAGTATTGCCAAGTAACAAAATGTACATGGCGTAGTGCGTCATTCAACCAACCTTTTAATATGGACAGTGTAGGTGCGGAAACAAATGAATCAGAGAGACCGTTCCATGGTTGTCACACGCGAATGAAACAGCAATTTTTACGGCACTCCAGATGGCTGTACTATTCTGTTACTTTCAAGGAGTGGTCTCTAAGTTTGGTGTTACTGTGGAGTTGCAGTAAAGAGTGGCACACATGATTTGGATTGTGTAAAACCAAGTATCCCATAATCAAGTCGCCTCACAACCGGCGACGCCATCCGCTGAATACTCCCAAACGTTTCAGCTTTAGTTCACATGATACATATCGCATTCCAATGACGTACTCGGAACCTCGATGTTGAGGCTGTTCCCATGCAGTGAGGTTGTGCTTCAGCCATAACTGCGAGGCTTGG